TTAAAAAGTGATTCGAAATTATAAACAGTGTACAAAGTATGTGAAAAGAACAAACTCTCTATTCCAAATTGAGACCACATTTTATTTGTATAAGAAACGAGAGAATATATGCATTCCAAATTGAGACTGCATTTTCTATTATAACATCTTCATTTCCAAATTGAGAACCACTTTTTAAATCTAATTAATAATCATCAAAAAAAGGTGGTCTCAATCATGAAGTAGCCATATAGTTTCAGACATACAGAAAATTTATAGACAATTTATTTAATATACTATTATATGAAATATTAAATTTTTTATTAGATGATCAATAAAGAAAGAAATATTTATTTTATAAGCAAATATTATGTGCAGTATTATTTAGTTGCATAAGAATATAATCAATAACGTTTAATATTATCACGTGATGGTAAACGAGCTAATGCTTCGTCCGACATTCCGTTACAACAATGTGTTATAATTAAAATCAGGTGTTTCCTGTGTATTCATTGTACGATACCAAAGATCTTCATTAAACTTTCGAAGTTCACCTGTAATACCATTACTTTTGCATGTATGATCAGAAGGTGGAGTTATAACATTCTTGGTAATATTACATGTATGAAGACGAGCATGACATTTTTGAAAATTATAATATATACAACGCCAATATGTTTTGTTTTCAGTAAATCGATCTTTTATATACGAAAAACCTTGGAGTTCAAAACGAGGCTTTTGTTTAGTAGTACATGATACTAATGTAGATGTTGCTGTAGACATATTTTTTTAAAAATGAGGCAGTGAGTTGAGAACTGAAGTTGAAAAGTGGAAGTGAATTGCGAAAAAAGTTATGAATATATAATAGTATATTGAATTTACATCAATTATCCCAATTAAAATTAACCCAATTAATAATATATTGATTAAATTGTCAGCAACTCTATTTTAAATTTTTGCAACTGTTTGTTTTCAACAAATTATTAAAATTCCTACATTGATGACTTTTCGACAACAGTATATTAAATAAATTGATTAAATTAACTTTCTCTTAAAGTTTTTCAACTGTTTTTGATACAAAAAATTTAATGGATAAACTGTAAATTTGTGCTCAACTTTCCTCCTGCTCAACTTTCCTCGTGCCCAATTTTCCTAGTGCTCAACTTTCCCGTGCTCATCTTTCCGTGATCAAGTTTCTTCTTGCTCATGTTTCCGGTTCCCCTAAAATTCTGACAGATCTAGTACTTCATTAAGCGACTGCTTTTTGAAAGTAAGGTAAAGTGTTACATGCAATTTATAGATTCTCTTTCGAAGACTTATATCACTTTCTTCTTACTGTCGCCAGGTTTGAATATAGTCACATGGCAATTTCAGCGTACAAATCTATCTACAACAGAAAATATGTGACCTTCGCGAAAGTCGTGCATTTTTTCTGTCATTTATAAACGACAGAAACGAAAGAAAACAAATAGTCAGTATCGTCTATGTATCTTTTCTGCGACGTTACAAGGCGTGTACAGAATAGAAAGAAAAAATACATATCACGATTGCGTATTGCGAAAGATATGCGGCACTTTCGATAATCATCTCATTCCTACTTTATTTGCAACACGACACGTTGTGGATGTAAATAAAGTTATTGAATAAATAGTATTTAAATTCACATAGTTTTCACTGGCATACAAATTTATAATATTTAAATTATTTCTATCGAAAATGTCTGCAATGCATCCATCTGTCATCGTCTTGCTACCACGTTATGAGCCAACAATCACAAAAAGTCGTAAGCTGTTCATCACGACAGACGAAATATTGATTAGTGCTGATTTAAATAAAAAATTAGAACAAGCCCATCCGTTGCCTAACCCACGAACAATAATGCCATATTGTCATCAGACATTTCCAAGGGTAACGAGTCTGATGAATTATACATTGCAAGAGGCTGTTCTTCTGTATCGTCAACTCTTTTATTCCACTATAGAAGAGAAACCAAGTTCTTTATCGATTGGGTCTATGCTCGAACACATTGAATCATGGACACTTGATTCAGCTCCCACGATCATCGATTTCGGTGGTTCATTTGAAACTCAACATTTACATTATGTTCAACTGGCATACCCAGGCACGAAAATCTATTCGATTGATACATTATACCGAAAATTGGATTTATTAGTTTGTAATTTAAATAATAGTGAAATCGCATGGTGTATTATACCTGTTTTCAGTGACACAAATGAAAATATTAGATTTGAATTGATTAAAGGTTTAAATGAAGAACTAACGGGAACATCGTCTGTATGGAATGGAATTGAGATATCAGAATTTAAGTTTCGTGTTGAAATCAAAAATATACAAGTTTATGATCCATATTCAGAAATATTCAATTTTAAACAAATAAACTTTGTTGATAGTTTGAAAAAATGTGAAAATAAACCGTGCTGTATATTTATGGCTTATAACACCTATAGTGCAACACCGTCCATAGAATATGTTAAACAACTTGGGCTAATTGATCCAGTTCATACAAAGATAGATATGAAATATGCCAGAGGAAATGAAATACTCGCTTTAGACGTCGTAAAGCCACAGGAGAGACCACTTCCATCCCATAAATTGGAAAAGTTAGGTCACACACTGTTAGAATTACATAACACAATTCAACATCCACAAATATCTTATCATTTACCTTCTTCGGGAAACATCAGTTGGCTTAACAACGATGATATTGCAACACTTTTAAGTGGTGGCAGCGTCATTCGTTCAGATAACAAAAGAAATTCACATGATTCTCTAGAACATTTGTTTGGCAAAAATTCTGGAAGAGGTTTATATTTCAATTCGGATATCGATTGTCTAAATTTGCGTTCTCTTATATTGAAGAATAATATTGAAATTTTAACTCCGCCACTCATCAAAGAATTTATTGAGCAGCATTTGGGCGGATTCTGGAAGAATGACAGTGATCGTCATGTTTCAGATATTCGTGAATATCCCCAGCATTTTGTTCGCGATTGTCTTCATGAACTACTTGGCTGTGTATCTCACGTATATATTGACATTGATAGCACTAACGCTTTACATTATTCAAGTGAATTTATTAAACAACTAAAACAACAAGATCAAAATCTGCATGTTAATGTTTCTGTAAGAGACACGGCAGAAAAGGAGTTACGTGAAACAGCCATAATCTTATGTATCGAATGTAATAAGCAATGGGTTTTGTTATTTGCCGATCTGGATATATTCTTTGATAACGTATCGTCGTGCCTATCAATCGATGAAATACAATTAAAAGTTGAATCATCATTTGCCTTCACCTATTCAATACATCAAGGAAAACAAATAAAATGGCATAAAAATTTATCGTTTGTTTATGTAGCTTCTCCTCAGGAATTATTTATCAAACAAGTTGAAGATCGTCTGACGGCTTTGAACTTACAGGAACTCTGTGTGATATCGAAAAAGTTAGAGTGCTTGACATTTGAAACATCACAAAGTTGCAGTAATAATGCAATAATACGTTTTGATTTTGGCCTACACGTAAACTATAGTGATATACCGTGTGCTAATCTACTGGATAAATGGATTTTTGCTGAAAAAGTCAGTGGACTAGTAATCACAATTTATCCTAATGTAGCGAACTTTACTTTAGCACGATATCCGCTGCTGCATCCACGTGCAAGTGTCGGATCTGTGTACAGTTTAACATCTAATAAGGTTTTAATACTTATACAATGGAGAAACGATGTGTAATTATCGTTTTTGTTAATCGCGAACAAAAAGTCTGCTAAAACCGAAGGTTAATATTCTCATGTTTTTTCTGTTCTCTGTGTGTGTGTGTATATCAGTAAAATTGAAATGTTATGAAAGTCGCTGCATATGACTTTATCTGTACATCATGAAAAATCTCTGTAGCTTAAAGACGCTGCTAACTGAAACTTGTACTCACAAGAAATTTATCAAGATGTTTAGAGTTACAGGTTTTAATCGAGTATCCATAAGCTACTACCCATTTCAAAATATAGTGCAGTCCATTATTTTTTTAATAACTTTTCAGCGGAAAGAGCTAGAACTGTGCGGTTATATTCAGATAGCACTTTCCTAACACTTTTCTTTTAAGAACTAAAAACTGCACGGTTCTAGCCCTCTCCGTTGAAAAGTTCTTGGAAAAATAAAGAAAGAGATTAATTGTATGAGTTCAACAATCATTATTTTAAAACTTTTATTTAAAACAGGAGCTTTCGATTACAACTGTAATCATCGTCAGCTACATTTAAACGAAAAACTTTTTCGTT